TGTCGCCAGACCAATGGGAGGGAGTGTTGCTCAAAGGGTAGCTGACGCTGGTGTCCCGCGATCGAAGTTTGACAGCTCCTTAGACGTATGCCAGGTCAAATCCTTGGCGAGGAGGTTCCACATACCCCGGTCTTATGACCTGAGGGTCCCCAATGTGGGCGATCGGCCGTGGACCCCCGAGGAGGGGGAAATTTGTGTTTACTAGCATTTTTTGGATTCTGGCCTTAGGTTTCCCCTCCCTACCTTAATCTCCGAGTTGCTGGAGTGGTATGACATCACTATCAGCCAGATTGTACCCAACACCCTTAGAACCATCGTGGCGATGATGGTGTGGGCTCAACTCAGGGGCGTGGAGTTGACGTTGAGGCTGTTCCGTGCCATGTTCGCGCCGAGGAAGCATGTTTCTGAGGCCAACATGTATTACTTCCACCCGAGGAGGGGGAAGCTTGTGCATAACCCCTCGTCCGTTCACGGGTGGAAGGATAAGTTCTTCTACGTCTCCTGCCCCGAGGGCTGGCGTTTCAGGTCCGACTGAGGGGAGGCCTGTGTCATCGTCAAGAGATGTCCCCCACCGCTTCGAGGTGAAGAGGCTGCATCTGTAGCTCACGTGCTTGTGATGGGGACATTCTAGGCGAAGTCGTTGGTGGAGGAGGAGGTCCCTCTAGTCTTCGTTGGGATTAGCCCAGCCCCTTTCAATAGGAGAGGTTCTGTGGTTAGTGCGTCTTCCACGTTCTTTTCTTTTTCACTAATGTACTAATTGTTTTCTTTTGTTGTTTCATAGAAGTGCTAATGGACACCAAGCAACGTTTGTTGGAGAAGGCTCAGGCGAAGCAAGCCGGGAAGAAATCTGGAGGGCAAACGCCAAAGAGGCCTGGCAATGAAGCTGCCCCCTTGCCCCAGTGAAAGGGGGAGATCCACAAGCTCCTGCCAAAGGGGAAGAAGCCGGTTTTGGCACCGAAGAAGCCGATGGAGGCGCCGAAGAAGCCCACCACCAGGGTAGAGGTGCCGAAAAAGCCTATGGACGGGCCCGAGGCGGGTAGGAAGAGGCCCGTTGTAGACACGCCGAGGGAGGAGCCTCCACGGAAGGTTGCCAACACTAACAAGCAGGCCAAGGAGGTGGTGTGGAGGTCCACGCTCGGGGAGTGCCCATCCAGGCCTTCGTTAGCCCCTCCATCAATACAGGGGGTCCTCGAGAGAACCGAAGGGGCTAGGAAGACCTTCCGCCCACAATGGCAGCTCCAAGAGGGGGACTCCATTCATGATGAGGGGGTCAGCCAAGAGCTGGTTAGCGGATCCATTTTGTCGAGGGATCGTTACCGCCTTTTGCAAAGCAACCCCAAGGCCATCTACGATGAGGGCCTATACCATTTGGCTGAGGTAAGGCACTCTTCGATATATATATATATATTACTCTTTTGTTTGCTAATCGGTTTTGTGGCAAGCTTGTTTGCACTTCGTCGGTTTGGGGGACCGAACAAGATTGGCCATGTCTCGTGTTGACAAGGCAGAGAAGGAGAACAAGGTTGTCGAGGAGAAGCTCTAGACGGCAGCCGCCGTCGAGAAAAGTACCAGAAATTTCGAAAGGCGCTCCTAGATGATCAATTAGTTTGGGAGTGCCTCGAGGCTTAGTTGAAGGAGGCGCAACAAGGGCTCTCCAAAGAGCAGATGGAGCGGGTGCGGATGGAAAGCATCATCACGGAAGCGAAGAGACAAGCTACCGATGCCGAAAAGAAGGCTGTCGAGGTGGAGGCGAAAGCTGCCGAAGCCCTAGCTTCAGCAAAACAATCAAAGAAGGCAGCGGCCGAGGCGGTGGAGGTGTACAAGAAGTCTTTCGACTACCTGGATGCGCTGGCGGAGTATGCTTTATCGTCCTACCTCGACGATATTGAAGATACCAAGAAGGCACTCCTACTGGTGCTACCAGATTTTGATGTCGAGGGACTGCAAGTGATCCCTGATGCTCCCATCGAGGCTCAACCAGCTGAAGACGCCGTTCCCCCTCCTGCCAACGACGAGGTGCAGGCATAGACTTTCCCCTTCTTTTTCCCCTTTTTTTTTTGTTCTATTGTTGTAATACTTGTCGTTTGGTTTTTTTTTTTTGTGAAGGCAGTACAAAACTTTTGTAAAGGCTATACAAGGCCAAAATTGAGTAATGAATGAAGCCATTTTTTGTATTTACTGTGCTTCATGCATGTTGTCTCTTCCCCTTTCTTTCTCTTCTTCTTTTTTTTTTTGTGAGAGGTCCTTGCCCCTCCGAACGATTGAGACCACGATACACAAGGCACACACGATTCAGTCGTAGTATTTGTTTATTTGTACGTTCGTCTCAGCTTGTCGGGACATTGGGAGTCGAGGCGGAGTCATATGCCTGAAGTGGGGCTCACCTGGCTTCCAATTCCCGTGCTATCCTAGGCAAGGCCGAAGGGACCTGGCACCATGGTCGAGGTCTAGGGCCGAAGTATACCATTGAGGTACTTGGGTAGATGAAGAGCCACAGCGGAGTAGCATCATCGGGGTGCAGCTCCCTTGACTTGTTCTTACCAAGTGTTTTCTCGAGGGAGGCTGAGGCGTCCCACCAGTGAAGCCGAGGGCTCTGTCTCGTTATTTTCTTTGTGCTAAGTGCAAATAGCCGAGGGGGTCACCACGCTCCGAGGTGATGAGGCGTAACAAGCCTTTCTTCCTAGTGTGTATGTCCCGGGTGAGGCGAAGAGGAACTTTGCTTCATTTATTCATTACTTTCATAAAAAAATTACATTCATCTGTAGTACATCCGTAGGTTCTTCGAGTTTCACGTCCGAGGGACGGGTCTTCCATCTAAATTTTTTAGTGGAAATGTGCCAGGGCCGAGAGCTTGCTTAATCCGGTAAGGGCCTTCCCAGTTGGGTCCTAGCTTTCCTACTCCAGGTTCGGGGACCATGACCTTCCTGAGGACAAGGTCTCCCTCTCTGTAGTGCCTTTCTTTCCTAGAGTTGTAGTAGCAGGCCACTCGCTGCTGATAGGCAGTCATCCGAATTTGTGCTTGTTCTCAAGTTTCTTCCAGTAGGTCTAAGTTTGCTTTGAGCGCCTCATCATTCTCAATCTCGATATACCCTTCGATCCGAAGCATTGGTTGGTCGATTTCTGCTGGGATCACTGCTTTCATACCGTAGGTCAGGCCGAAAGGGGTTTCTCCCGTCGCTGTCCGAGGTGTGGTTCGATACGCCTAAAGGACGCTGTGTAGTTCGTCGGCCCACAAGCCTTTAGCTCTATCCAACCTGGTCTTTAGTCCGTCCAGGATGGTTCTTTTCGTAACCTCGGCTAGGTCATTTGTCTGGGGGTAGCCTACCGAGGTGTATTGTTGTTTGATGCCGAGGGAGGTGCACCATTCTCGGAATTTAGCGTCATCGAACTATTTTTCATTGTCTGTGACCAGCATGTGGGGGAGGCTGAAGCAACAAATAAAGATGATTTCCAAGGTGAATGCGTCCATGCGGCCAGCGGAGTTGTCGTGACTGGTTGAGGCGTCGTCTCGGCTCTCCTTAACTTGGCGGAGCTCGTCCTTGACGGCCCCAATCTCGACTCGCAACTCAGCAAGCCCTAGGTCAGCATGGGCATGGGCCCCACTTCTGTCTTCACGGACCCGGTGGGTGTCGGCTCGGACTCCCAAATACTCGAAGACAGGATTGCGCGCTCCTCTACGGACGCGACGATCATTCAAAACATCCCTGAGATCTGAGACGAGAAGTGGAGTGGGGTGGCGTCGGCTCTCGCCTCGGGAGCGAACTCCAAGACGGTCGAGGTGCCCGCCATCGTCCTAGGGGGCCTCCCTACGGTGGCGGTGGTGTTGCTCTGAAGATTTATGACTTTCTTCGGATTGAGCGGGCATGCTCTCCCTTCGGCTAGGAGGATAGATATTCCTTCGTGGTGAATCTAAGAGGTGGTTGTTGCCCAATTCTGATGGTTCGGCCGGCAGATTACTGTGGTCGAGAGCCAGTGGCTCGACGTTCTCGTGTCGGCCCTGATCCTCTGACACCCCAGCGAGGTGGTCGCCTTGAGAGGAACCTCCTGCTCGGGGGAAAACTTCTTCCATTCGTTGGGTGAGGCGGTCCAAATGATCGAGGATGGCCTGAAATTGCTCGTAGGTGACCAGGTTCTGATTGTTTCTGGCTCTCCTCACCATGACTTTCGAGCTTAAGGGGGGTTTGGATTTAGAGTATTATTATTTTTATCCTAAAGTGGGGGTTGTCTTAGCAACTCTTTCTCACAGACGTCGCCAATTGTTGCCGCGCAGATTGGCCGGGGGTAACGAGGTAAATTCACTCTTCAGATTCCGAGTATTATCCGATGACCCCGGGGCCTTGGAAAAGGTTGGCTGAAGCCGATGACTACAAGCCGAGGTGAAGTGTTCCTTCCAAGGACTATGGTAGCCGAGGACTACAAGTCGAGACGAAGTCCTTGATGGCCAGGGATACTACAAGACAGGGAATGTCAGAGGCCTCAGGGTGAATACCCAAGGCAAAGGCTCCGACGCTCAAGTTAGTACGAGGTGTAAAGTAGGGGAGGGTGCGGGAGAGGACTTGGAGAGAGTTCTCGGATGCACCAGATCTCACTGAATTAATGATAAGAAGACAATGTAGGTGCAAGGAGTAAATGAGTGAATGGTGTTGGAGGTTTAGCGTTCCGGATCCCCTTTAAGGGGCAATTACCTCTTATTTATACTTGAGCGTGCTGGAAGTAGGTGAAGATGAATGGCCCGGATGAGAGTTGTACGAGGTCAGGCTGCAGGCCCTGGCGGGTACACCTGACGGCCATGTGGTTGGCTCTGTATGGAGGCAACAAGGCTCCCTCTTATTGTGGCTGACGCTGTCAAGAGTCAGTGGGCTGGGCCTCCCAGCCCGTGGTGGGCTGGGCCAAGCTAACCCACATCAGTAAGAACCCCCTAAATCAAATTGAAGTTTATTTATTGGTTTGATTCTAATGTTTTGAAGCATTCAATTTTTTGGTTAAAACGAAGAATCCAATTGACCAATTAATACCTTTTGCATTTTCCGGACCATGTTATCAACAACTTTTGATCTGAAATCTAAGAATTATCTCGGAATGAGATTCTAGTGAACTCAAGTTGCACATCACATCTCATCAAATGAAACATTATACAAATTGTGTTTCACTCAATAGAAATAGATTTGTATTTTCTGACTGTGCCTGTAATAGCTTCTTCAACTGGTAGCCTCTCCAAGCTTGAAGCACCATAAAATCCGTGAACACCCTTTGTTCTCTTCAGTACAAATTCTGCCTCGTTAGGACTAGATATAGGACCTGCACAATCACAGCAAGAGATTGTTTTTGGTAATATCAGTCTTAAATAAAATGCCAAGTTGATACAATTATCTCAAATTAAGGACTTACAGATTGACAGAAACCATGGCTTTTTATATAGAGCACAATGGCAGGACAAGAACTCAAATAATTCTCATTTATCACCTCCACATTTTTGCTCTTTGCACATACAAATAATCACTAAAGAGTAAAGAGGTGGCTAGTGGCTAATCTTACTAAAACTAGGAAAAACAGAAATTATTGAATTGCTACTATAATAATATAATAAGAACTCATTAACTAATGAACTCCTTAACCGATAACTGAAATTTTAAACATAACCAGACAATGTGAAAAATGGTCAAAGTAATCCTACTGTTCTGAGTACAGAAATATAAATAAAAATTTCATAAAATTCAATATATGAAAACTTGGCTCTTGCATTGGTTGAGTTGTATACAATTGTTTCACATTAAAAGAATTCATACTGACGATCATGTGCCAGTTTGCAATAGTCTTGAATTGATACTCTCCTTCCCTTTTCAGTTCATATGAAACATAACCAAGGATTGTGACATCTCTCAAATGAGTTTTGCATGTATTTTATGTTTGGGGAATTTTTTTTTAATGTTTCCCGTTCATGTATATATGTATTCAGCTTCTGGGAGTTATATGATTTCTTCAAGAATTCTTCATTTTCTGTTCCTGAAAAGTTATTTATATATACTACTATATTAAAAAAGAAACCTTCCTAGAATACTGGTGAGGCTACACACACCTGTAAAGCAGTTACCCACAACCTCACAGTCCCCCCTTATCTTTTTCTTCCCAATTATGTACCAAGTCCCAAGTATTTGAATGTGCAGTATTGAACATTCCACCATCTAGTATTTTCTACTTTTCATGGATAAAAATTTGGACCATTTCTAAATTTGTGCATGTCATCCTTGTGCAGGAGCCATGCTAATCTTCTCTGTATCATTCCAAAAACTGTCCCCCTCTAGTATTTTCTATTATGAAGCTCTATAGCATGAAGCATGAGAATTGATTTAATTCCCAATAAAATGAATAGTTAGCATGTAAAAACTTCATATGGTAGGAAGCACGAACAAAATACCTCCATGGCAGAGCACAATAACATCTGGGTTGATCCCATGTGCAGCATCAGCAATAGCTTGCACACGAGAAACACTTTCCTCCAAAGAGATGGCAGTTTTTGCGCCAATAGACCCTGAAGTGGTGAGCCCCATATGTGCCACTACAATATCAGCTCCAACTTTTGCCATGGCAATTGCCTCATCTTGGTTAAAAGCATATGGCGTTGTCAAGAGACCCAATCTATGTGCTTTTCCAATCATTTCAACCTCCAACCTAACCAAAAGAGTAAAACTAAAAGTCTGAGTTGCATAATATCAGAAATATAAGGCTGCAAATTCTCTATAAATAAATAATCAAAATTATCTATTGCGATTTACCCGTATCCCATTCCAGTCTCTTCCAGATTTCGCCTAAAATTACCATCAAAAAGTCCAACTGTAGGAAAGTTCTGCACACCAGAAAACCCTATCGATTCCAGCTGCTTTAGAAAGTAATCCATTCGGCGAAATGGATCAGTTCCACATACTCCAGCAAGAACTGGTACTTGCTTCACTACCTATATACAGTGTAAATTATGCATCTGTAATATTGTCTCCAAGAAAAAATTAAAAGTACAGAAAAATAGAAAAAGTGGATCATGGTTAGGATTCTTTTTAGGTTCAATATTTGGATACGGCACTGAACGGAATGGAATGTCAAAACAGGATTCATGTAGCCGACCCCATATAGCTGGGACAAGGCTTAGATGGTGATTGAGACCAATTTGGTCTTTCAAGAATATTAAATCAACTATAAAGAGATAAAACCAGAACCAGAAAAGTTCAACATAAATCTGTCTGAAAGAATGAAAAGAACTATGAGACCTATGAGACTGGCACTTAACATCCTTACTAACTATAAGATAACACATGGGCATCAGCTGAAACATGGCAATTAGCATGGTCTGATTTTCAGCACTCTTTTGAAGCATTATTATGTCTGTTCCTATCTATTATTTCTGATTTAATGTAATTTTGATCATTTACCTATTAAAATATCCTGTGCTCCCCAAAACTTGGTTAAGATTAACTTGCCTTCTTTTACCTTAGTTTTTATCTCCACACATAATGCATGGCAATTGCCAAATAAAGGGTTTATTCAGTTTCATCATATAGGTGTCAAGGTGTCTAGGCAATTTTAGGAGATAGTGGAGCATCTAGGCATTCTCTAAGTGATAGAATTTTACAAAAAATCTTTCTAGGTTAGTTCCATTGTTTTATACTCTTTACTATATAACAATGAATTTCATTTAAAACTTGGTAAATTATTATAACCGAAAGAAAATTACATTTTAAATATATTAATCTCAATATTTCAAAATAACATTATATAATATAGCAGTTGTAGCAGCTAAAGAAGGTTACAATTTTATACAAAGAAAATATTTAATTTGTAGGATGTTGGCAATGAATGTGTTATTAGCAATTGCACTGCTACAATAGAGAGAGAAAGAGAGAGAGAGAGAGAGATCCCCTGTCCTAAAGCCCTTGAAAAAACTCTATATATGGTAATGTGATGATGGTATATGCACCTAGTTAAAACCCATTATATCATACTAGGCACCCCCAAGGATGCCTTTTTCATGGCTTTGATGACTACGTTCCATTAGTGGCTGATTTTATCACCAATTATTTGGTGAACATATGCTCCTGTTTAAAGAATTTCACTGAAACAACTAGTTAAAACTTACTGGCAATACTTCATTAGCCATTTCAAGTACCACTGCGTTTGCATCTGCAAAGGGCAACAGACCTGCCAAGGAACCCCTTCCTGCCATCCGAAAGCGTCCTGAGTTGTACAAAACTATCAGATCGACACCACCTGCTTCCTCAAACTTGGCTGATATCCCTGTGCCTGCACCAGCTCCTATTATGGGGATACCCTTATTTATTTGATCTTTCAACTGTTCTAATATTGCTTGAGTTCTTCGTAAAGTTTCTGTTAGGATGATCAGCAATAAGATCTTAGTCCGCATCTTTGTAAGCCATTATGCAAATTTGCATTATCATATTACTTGTTCTAAATTGATATGATCATTTATTTTAAAATTTTCTAATAAATTAACTATTTTATTAAAAAAATATCATTTTATTCCCAACAAAATGGAAGAAGAAAATTATTAAAATAAAGTATCCAAATCAAATTGCTTATTTAAGGACTACAATAAAAGGCCTACATTTTTCCAAAAAAAGAGGGGGTTATTTGGAAGTGTTTTCTTCAACTGCATAATTGTTTTCAATTGATTTTAATGAAGAAACAGAGTACAAACAATTTCCCCGATTGAAATTTTGATATATTTAAACATGGATGTGTCATTTTCTATATCCAGCCTATATATAAAATATTTTAAATCATCAGAAATTTATTAGGAGAAATTGGAAAATTGGACCTTTTATGTTATATGGGGGCTTTCTATCCCTTTAGACAACAAACAAATTAAAAGAGATACTTCAATAAATTTCAGGGAAAATGCACCAAAAACAGGAAAAGAAATATTTTTTTTCAGAAATATATATCATATTGACCTGTTGGTTTCACCTGGTTGCACTTTTGAACTATTTGTTTTGTCTCATCTCTTAAGGTTTACCATAACCTAGGGAGGTAAAATCAAGGAGCTGGGGTACAGTGTAGGTTAGACCAATCTGATTATCCAGCATGGTCTAATTACTTAAGTTATTAAGTATTAGGTTTACTTGGAGTTTCATCCCACATCAAATGAGGATGAAGTTCCATGCTTACAGTAAAGCATTAAATAAAGATAAAGATTTTTAGTCAAACCAAAGATGCAAAACTATATAGGATCAACATATGGATAAAGTGGAAATATTTACTCAACTTGCAAGGCTTAGACATGGTACTTAAAACAGTCTGAAAATTTCCTTCCAGTACTTGGATATTTAGACAACTAAACACAACTTGACCACTTTTCATCACAAAAACTGATCAAGATGCAGAGCTAAAATGGGTTAAAGGGAAAAGAGAGTATGAACATATCAAATCATGCTCGATAAGGTGCTTCTGACAAGTTTCAATTCATTTCCACCTCCATAATGAAAAGCTTTTGTGTTCCAAGCAGTTTATAGTAATAAATACTCTGAGAAAGTAAAATGTAAATTGCAAAACAAAAAATGATCCAAATAGGTAAACAAACTATAACCTGGTCTTGCATCAGGGAAATCTGCTGGGCTGTAACAAATGGCTCTAGACACTGACAAATCCCCTTTAGAGATATAATCCTCATGGAGATCTTGATGGGGCTGAACTGAAGCATTTTGTTGAGGACAATCGTCTTTTGAGTTCTTGGCACTAATTTCCAAAAACGAGTCGACCAACAAATTTGCAAACTCAGGATCATTAATATGATATGGATATGTCTTTACCTGTTACAACAGAATATAATCAAATATAGGAAATTTAATTCGAAAAAACAAAAAAATATGGAGTCACATTTATGCAAACCGTTCAAATGAATGTCATAGCAAGTACAATCTGATGAACCGATAATATACCTGTCGATCTTCATTTGTCTCAATAAGCGTCTCCAGTTCACTGATAATTGACCTAGTGGCCTCAGGATCATAAAACGGCTTCCCAGGGGCATCCAAAACAGAAATACCCTTCTCTGGCAGGCAAACACATAATTTTGATGACGACTTGTTCAGTTTGTCTGCTATAAAGCTAGCAAATTTCTTATTTTCCTCTGCCGTAGTTCGCATAAGAAAAACCTGCAGAATTTAAGTTTTCGTGAAGTAGAATTAGTCCTTTTCTATGTGGAGAAAAGAAGTCATTCAATCTTATTTCTGTTTCTTCAATTGTCAAAGGGCAAGACTCTTTCTTTCTTTCTCTTAGTCATTCATATTATATAATAGTTGAACGTTATTTACCATTACCAATAGAAACCAAAAGATAAAAGTTCAAAAGCCTTTTGGACCACCGGAAAATAGGAGCCATCTCAGTGATGAATACATGGGAAATCAAACTAATACCTCAGATAGCCATCTTCATTGAATCTGGTAAAAGATGAAAGTAAAAAAAAAAAAATTGTGTACCTGGTCATTATGTTTGTAAATCATTCTTTTCTCAAACTTGGAAGGTATAGTATCTTTAGGTCCGAAGTTCACCATATCCAGTGCTCCAATACTCAAGACTAATGGGATCTTCTTCTCTATAATAGCATCAAAACGGGAACTGTCACATGCCATGACACCTCCAACTAAATGATCTGCAACTTCTGTTGTTGTGACATCCAAAACCCCCTAAAAAGAAAGATATCAGGAACAACTTAAGGTGAGACAAACACAAAGGGAAATAAAAGGCATAACTAACAAAAACTGCATTTAGTTAGTGGCCTCGAGGATTTTAACCCAATTAATTTGATTTCACAGGGAAATTTAAATCTTTAATGAAATAAATGATCCAGAAACTTGGAAATAACTAAAATACATAAGCTAGATCTAGTAAGAGGTGCCCTGTAACTTTATTAAAGAATGCAGGTAACAAATTGACACCTGTACTACAATTACTGGTTCCAACTCCTCCACCATTAATCTAACAATTGATCAACCAAGTCTAGAAGGTCAAGTATTGCAGTTAAATCCTTGAAAAAAATTGAATTTCTGTCAAGCAAACCAAAATAGGATTTAGTAGAGAAAATTTGGTTCAGTTTTGAAGCACCCAATGACGCATCCAGAATAGGTGTAAATATTGAATTCCCTAGTATAAAAAAAAGCATTTGCTCCTGCTTTCTTTTCAAAAAAAAAACCTTGATCCCTTAAATTGAAATTAAAAACTCAGCTTATAGTAAAATTAATCACTAAAACATGGAAAACACGTACTCAAAGAAGAATTCACAGAACTACCAATTACCTGCTACCTCATGCCAAAGTCATTGTGTTCCAGTTGGACCACCAAAGACATAAAGGTCCACTAATTTTTATGAAATATGTATTGAGGTTGTAGGTATTTAGTAAAAAAATAAATGTTACACAAGATTAGTACCTGTATAAATCCCCCTCTAACTAGATTTTCCATAGCCCTTCCACCAACCCCAGTGGCATGGAAAACCAGTGTCTCATAGCCTTCTCTGGAAAGTCTTTCCTTGACAGCATTTACACATGGAGTAGTAACCCCAAACATGGTTATACCCACTGTAAATTTTTCTTTCATCTTAACAGAATTTCTGAACCCCAGGAGTCTTCCTACCACCATTCCAGCAAAGGCAGACCCAGCATTAGATAGCACAGCCCGACTTACACTGTTAATCCCACAAACATCCACCACAGATGGAAACAGTATCAAATCTGATGTCCCAACATAAGGTTGAGTTTGACCACTAGCTACAGTGGACACAATGACTTTGGGTACTCCAACAGGAAGGGATCTTAATGCAGGGGATATTAGAGATGTTCCACAGCTACCTCCAAGGCCAATAGCTCCATCAAGAACTTTATCTTCATGAGCTTTCTTAAGGAAAAGTTCCAGTGCTTCACTCATTATAGCAATGGCCTTGCCTCTGTCATCTGGGAGCAGCTTTGATGATTGTTCATCTGACTTCAAATAGCAAGAGAGAACCTCCTTACTTGTTACAAAAGGAAATCCTCCAAAGCTTTCTGTTTCCTTCTTACCGACAGAAATATCAATGATTGTTACCTGCACCTGTAGTTGCTTCAAAAATGTTATGAGATAGAAACTATTACATACCAAAAATAGTATACTGCATAGCATAAAACATAATAACACATTTATATTCCTAAATTTATATTATGATGAAATGCTGATAAATATGGAATATGCAACCTCAGCCTCTGTCGAACCTTCTCTATTTAATCTGAAGAAGATTATAATTCTGACAAGAAGGCTTGCTGATTTTCCTTGAAGAATCAAACTATAGTTCTCTCTTCCCCTTACTGAACAAGAGAGAAGAAAATTGTATCACATGACATCAGAACAGAACAACAAATGGAACTATGTTATATAACGAGCATGCAACCAGAAAGGATCTCTCTTGAGTCTTGACTTACACGATAGTCTCCAAAATAAATTTACCATGGATGGCGTGGCCAAAATTAGTTCATTGACATAAATAAACACCCATAGATATTGCAGGTTTATCAAATCCAGTAATCAGGGAGCATAATAAGTACTGCCATATTTTCCCTATAAAAGCTTCTTCCGGAGAATTATAGAAATAAACTTAGTTTATCATCTAAGTTCAGAAAATTATTAAAGAACAAGAAATGGATTAAGTACCATGTAGAAATATGGCACCCGAATCCGCAAATATTGAACTAGACCATGTGGAACACTGGTATTTTGTCAGCTGGGAAGAATTTAAGCAACGACATCAAGTATTGGCATGTTTTGAACGGTAATCTTGAACCCCACTTAAGTTAAGTCCAATTGTTTTGCTTAGAGAGCATACTTTACAGAACTGAAACTCCTTAAGCCAAGTCCAGGAACACAATCAACAAGAGAAACATGGGATAGCGTGAATCAGTTGATAGAATTTTTTACTTCATTGACCAAACGTAAAGACCCCTAACTGAGGTAATGGCATCCACCATTTGCATTTAAATGAAGAAAGCCAACTCTGAGTCATAAATCAAAATGTGCAAAGAAACAAAGTTACAACAGTCCCCAAAAATTCCTGTAATGAAATCTGAAGATAAACAACAACGAAACAAAGATGCAGTGGAGGATTCTTTATGGCTTTTCATGAAAATTCAAACAAGTAAGACCACAAGACATTAATCGCTTCAAACAACAAAATCCAATGAAGTGTTAAAAGAAAAAGAGTTTAAAGGAGTGTGCCTTGAAGGAAGAAGTCTTGGAAAAGCTGTGCAGATTGGATCGAACGGAATCAGCTAGAAATCGGAGCTCCTCCAGCTTTGTATCGGCCGTTCCAATACAAAAAACACGGAATACCCCTTCCCTACCTTCCATATTTTGCTCCTTGTGAGTTTAGGGAACGACTAGAACGATTTCCAGTTAGATTAGACGGCTGCTCTGCACAGTGACAGTATGGCGCAAGGGTTAAATATCCACAACAAGCTATTCTTTATGTTTTTATTATTATTAATCAATCAATTAATTAATTAATTGATTATATTTTTGCGAGTGGAGAGTGGAGGTGGAGGTTTGGTAATTGGTTACAACTTACGAGTCAAGCTCTAACATTGAATTTAAGTTTTATCTACCGAGTGTGAGTGATGATCTGATGAACTGATAAACTGATGAATGATGATAATCAGTTAATCACCTCACCACCTGATGAGGGCAGATTTGGCCCTCCAATGAAATTGTGATACGTGGCACCTCGTGACAATTAGGCAAGCCCCCAGGCAACAACTTACCAAGTTGGTCCCCCCCGGGCACCGGTCTGGCTGGCTTGGCGCGGCCTGCGTGCAACCTGGCGCGACCTGGCGCGGCCT